GGCGTTTCTAGTTTTGCTTCCCTCTCATCGAGCCCTAATAAAACATTAATTTTACTTTTCTTTTAATTGAATACAACGAATTTGTACTGAGTTGACTATGGATTAAAATATTTTGTCTGTAGCCACTCTACTTTGTGCGACATTTTTCGGGCATCGATTATTATTTTTGAATGCAGCTGGATGTTTGGAATTCAGAAAGGGATTTCGGTTACAAAACCATTGGATACTTTTGGAGTTGCTTACACGGGCTAGAATAGCAGACAACGCATTTGCGGTGGTTCAATTTTCAAAATGTTCTCTGGGAGGGTGAGACCCCCATCCCCCTCGACAATTGATTGGTTTTTTGGAATTCGGGTCAGCCAGGTGGGCTATATTGGACAAAATTGAAGTTGCTGTATTCACAGACTGGAATAGCAGGAAAACACGTTTGCGGCAGTTAAAATTTCAAAATTTTCTCCCAACGGCCCCGTCTCCGTGGACTGTAAACGACTCATTGGAATTTGAGTCAGTCATAGTTATTAGACTATATTAGACCACTTGGAAGTTGCTTTGTTCACGGGCTGAAATAGTAGGAAAACGTGTTTGCAGCCGTCAAATATTCCAAAATTTTCTTTGGTGGGGGGGGGGGGGTCCATACAAGGTAAGCTCCGCTTCATCGCCTATCGAGGAAGACCGGCGCCGCTGTCTGTAAACCCGAATTTTTTTTTCGGGCATTTCGGGTTTCGCCCCCTTAAACTGTCATCGAGCCCGTACGCCTATGCAAATGTCTATATTTGTCATGAATGCGTTAAACAAATCTACCGATGATATCGGAGCGGCTCAATATTTTGATTTTAAACATTCCCATGCTGTCATTTTATTTGGATATTTTTAGCACTTACCATTTAATAAAACAAGAGAAAGCGTAAACCTTATTAGACGTCAGATAGCATGGAGATAATGTGAATTGACGCATTAAAATAATCTATCGGGAGATTACATCCGTGAATACTGGATTTGTGTAGGTTAAACGGGTGATTTGTAGACTATTCTACCCGTTATCAAAGGATTTGGGACTCGACTCATGGGAAATAAAAGCGATTTAACACAGTCGTTATGTTCTGAAATAAATGCATGCTGAACGTGGTCAGTATTGGTGAAGCTAATCGAATTACTTAGAATCACTTTAGACGAAAGAATATTGGTTTAAGAAAGTTCTGGAGTAAAACTACTTTAATCTCATATAGAGATTATAAAAGATGTTCGATGACCCGAGACGTTCAGGACGTCATTGTATGTTATAAGCTATTTGTCATCAAAGGCAAACTAGTAATACCCGAAGAAAGATCATATTAACTAGACAGACAGGAGATGGATCTCAAAGTTAACATTTAAGTGCTCTTTGAAGAAGACGAATATCTAACAATTCTTGTTGTTTTAGGTCGATCTGTCCAATAGGAACACCAAAGGTGGGTTATACGTCCACGTTCTAGCTTTAGTCCAAATGACAGATTTTCTATTTCTTGCTTAACTCACATTGACAGATGTCTACTCTGGCTGCAGTCTAATAGTTATCCTTAAATTAACGTGCGTAAAGTGTTAGAATACACTACAGTGAAGTCTGTCTACAGGGTTGTACACGGGACCTCTATTTTTCGTTCCATCCGAACGACTAGACAGCTGTCCTTGTCAGGACCTACATCCTGTATCACTGACAAGGGGAAACCACAGCGGAAAATTTTGGATGAACTTTCTCGGCCAATGCAGGGATCGAACACCCGACCTCCAGGCTAGCGGAGCCAGCGTCTTACCCACTTAGCCACGTGATCCCCGGACAAAATTTGGAGTTACTAGTGTATGTGCTTCCTGTTGTTGTACTAGATATTCCAATCTTTCGATTTTGTAAGCAGTTACACCCATGACACAACCTATCAACTTCCTTCATTTGCCTAGTATACCACAGCAAAACCTAGTAACTCAATAATCAAATCAATGGATAAGCTGGGGTTTAATATTCATTCATTACGTTTTCCTTTGTTTTCTCAAAATAAGAAAAAAGTGAGTTACTAGGTTTTGCCTTCTGACGGGAGGTCTGTGGTTTGGGCATTCACCAAAAACAAAAGGTGGTATCCGCTCTATGAAAAGAATAATCATGCAAATTTTAAAACAATCCGTCACATGTGCCTTCCTATGTAAAACTGGGTGATTTAATGATATATTTGGACTAAAAACATATTTCAGCTAATCAATCTATCAAAAAATTTGCTCCAAATCCCCTCAAAAAATTGTATTCGCGAGGAAATGCGCCCAGCGCCAAAACTAGCCAAACAGAGAGAAAATTCGTTGCATATAAAAGACGATGTTGTCATTAATCGCTGTACATTTACCATAATATCGAAGCCTGAATAAATTCTGGGATTATACCCTGTCCACTGCAATTTTTCGCCGTTTATTCTCATCTGTTCTACGTTTAAGTCTCTCACTCTTTCCACGTGCGCTGGCCATCATGTTTCTCAACATATACATTGAGTGCTCCCTAATGCAAAGAGGTCAGACAATATGCACGTGCAACTTTAGGTGTAACTTTGGTGGGTTGACAATTAGTGACACCCCTCATTTTTGTCCTGTGTGCGACCCATGGGTGTTTTCCAGGCATCCAGTATGTTTCTAGTAAGATTGGGTGTCTCTACTTTCAATATATACCAAAATTTCCATTCTGTTATTGGAAATAACTACCCAAATGCATCTTTAAAAACTTCGATCTGTCGAGTGCCCACATACAGATGAAGTGTCCAGCAAGAGAACTGCGCTCCTTATCACCATAATTGATTAAAATAATAATTCAATATCCTAATTTATATGCTTTATATTAATATAAATCAAACCAAATTATGGAATATATGCCATTTAATATGTATAGTGATCGTTTTACGTAGTATGTTGTTATGTTAATTTAATGCCATTGTATATATATTTACACTGTCAGTTAGTTCCTCACGGTTTGTTTTGTTATTATGATTTTGACTAGTTGTTTCATGTACATTATTATAGTGACTTGTATAGTACCATCGTTATCATTGCGATCTGGACCGGATTAAACGTCCGCTACTTTTTGCTTGATAGGTATCTAAAACTTAGCAAAATAATTTGTAACTAAGACTCCTGAGTTTAGAAGTTCTTTACGAATAAGTGGTAATTTAATTTACAAGTTGTTGTTCGTTTTTGAGCAAGGGAAGATTACCTTTTGGCTAATCTCTTAACCGCTCGTCCGAAGAGCTTGGTCCGTGACTCACCGGAAGAAGTCACTGGTGGCAGAATTACCTTCTTGTTAGAGGACGCTACAGATTTTGGTGGCAGAGGTGGGATTCTCTTAGCTTGGTGTTAGAAGGCTGATTACGCTTTAGCTCTGTAATGGCTGCATTTCAAGAGACTGCTCCTTCGTCGACTGAAGGAGACATTAGCTTTGCTGATAAGTCTTTTCAAAAGACAAAGGTTGATGAGTTAGGGAAGCAGTTACAAGAGTTAAGCGCAAGCTTAAAAATACCACTGCAACCGCAATTACCTAGCAAGCCAGTAGATCTCAGTACCGGAACCAGACCCAGAGAATCTTTGAGAGCCCTCGTGGCAAGACAGCGGATTGATCCATGGACGAACAGGGTAAATCAGAGACCTCCTATGGAGAATGTCACTGCTCCCGCTGATATCATGGTAGGGTGACCCACCATAAATAAATATCTCCATATATCTCCATATATCTCGACAATTACGCCACAATATTTATATATATGCCAAGCCTCAAATCAGTTTCACACAATTATAGTCACTAAATAAACGATCATGTTGTACTTAATAAGCTATGACCATTAATCATCTATAAATAATAGACTGAAAACTGGTTCCAAGTGTCGTCCATAACAAACAGACACTTTTGAGTAAAAGATAGGTTACGTGCCCTTGTTTTGAAATTAGTCTCGCTTAACCAGTCTATTGACCATTCTACGTCTGATTGACAGGTCGGGATAATCAAGACTACTTTTTTACGAAACATAACAGAAAGCTAGAACAAGAAATTGAATTTAGAAATGAGCACGTTAGGTAGCTCAACAATCGTTTTAAGAACCTTGTAAAAGTAAAATGAAACTACTGCTAGTATCATGTTCCGGTCTAACCCGAGTGATTCAGAGATATTATTTGTACTAAACCAAAAGATGCCGCTCTTAACGGTACAGTTAATGATAAAGCGATTTAAAAAATGAAACGAACGTAATTTCTAAATCTGCTGTAATAACCAAGAAGCTTAATTTCACTGCTATTCAAAATCGTCAACAATAAATTTTTTACGGCTGTAATAGTTGATAGATTTGTAGACAATTGCACGTGCCATGGCTATTTATAGTATCATACTGTCAGAAAGTTGGTCTCGGCACGGCGAATGTGTACGCTTCAGTGGTAGTCTCGAACTATCAGCGGTGGACTTTATTTCTGTAGAGTACATGGGCCACCCTAATCATGGCAAATCAGAATGCGCCTATAGAGCATGTTACGCTACCTACTGGTACCCAAAACCAGAGTGCTTCTACAGAATATAATCCCTTTTCTTACAGTGCCCATGATACAGTTGGACCAGTACAGCCAGATACAAGAGGAGTAAATAGAGATCTTCGGATACAAGGTTGTAGGTTCCAAAAACCAATACTACAGCCAATGGCGTTTGATGGTACAAGCTCTCTTATTGATTATAAAGTACACTTTGAGACTTGCATCATAATAAATGGGTGGTCTACACAGGAGGAAGGTTATTATTTGGCAGGGTCACTCAAGGGTAGTGCACAGCAGGTCCTTAGCTCTCTTCCAGTTGGTGATCGATACACTTACGACAAGCTTTTTGCAGCTTTGGAGGGTAGATTTCAACCCAGAAATTTAGTTTACAAGTTGTTGTTCGTTTTTGAGCAAGGGAAGATTACCTTTTGGCCTAAGTCGTCAATTCACAATACAGCAATACAAAACACCAAAACAATATCAACTGATTCAACGATGTATTCTTTCTAACAACACTGTACAGCTATCTATGACATTACATCTAAAGTTACAACGGGTTTACAGTAGAATCTTTCTATAATCTATCTAAACAGTCGATCCATTCTGTAATACTACTATAGTTGAATTCAATTCAAATGCATCGTATCAAGTTGAAGTACTGAGATTGAGTACTGATTAATGAGATTGACTAAAAATATAAATATGATGTCCTTTAACTATACATGTACTAAATTACAAGTTACTGTTACTATCATATTGGACGCTAAGGCTTATTGACCTTTGACCTCTGCAACTGCACAACATCGTGACACATTCTACATGGCAATGGCAATGGCAACTTGCAAAGACAACAAATGCAACTTGGATAATTTCTTATGCATAAGCTCGTTCCTACTATATACTAGACAATACTATAACTAAATACTCTAAATAAGCTTGTAAATAATAACTATGATTGCATCGATCATAGCTCAGCTCGTGCAGGTCCCCAGAAATGACCGAAATTCTGAAGTTCGCTAGCGAAGACTTTCAAATCATAATCATATCTTATAACATACAAATTACATGTTAAAACAATTCTATAAATGATTAACAAACTATTTACCGTATTATAGGCCCATCATGTCCGTAAAGACTAAACTTTTACTATACTTATAAGAAACTTTACTGTTTAACTATTGACTTGAGGTGCTCGTGCTCGTCATTCTAAAGACAAAGGGCCAAATTAACCAGTCTTATTATTAAACAATGTAATTAGCGTTGCGTCACACGATCGTCCAGGCTCATTGAGATGCAAGCACGAAGCGTCAACACCACTGGAATCAGACCACTACAAATTTGACCGTTACACTGTTAGTTATATTTATAAATAGTCTTCCATAGAGTTAAGATACCACTGATCAACAGATACTCTATGTATGTTATTCCCCCGTCAGACCGGGTTGGCGTCCTTACTGCGGTGCTGCGACCGTACGGCGATCAGAAAATGCACAAGGTCGCCGGCAAACGTGAACACAACGCGAGAAAATGTCCCATAAAATTACAAACTTGAAAAAGTCGCTTTCTTACAGGTTTCCAGGTCAGATCGCAGAACCTTGGCGTTTGATTTGAACATGCTCAAAATAAACGCAATGACTCCGCGATCATTGCCGACCATTAAGACCACAGCACGATTTCTAGCGTTTGCACCATGCTTTTACCACGCTTATGGCGATCTTGACGCCCTCTGACACCATTTTCCGTCGCCGTAGCAGCGTAGTAAGGACGGGAGTTTTAGTAACTGCAACAATCATAATATGAAAATGAGCTGAACCTTGATTACGGTATAACATTATATTTATTTTTTCTCTTTGTTATTTTTGCATTGTATCCTTTGATCTTAATCAATATAGGGGTTGCGAATTGCTGCCCCATCTTCGTGCTACATGGATTGATTATTTTCATGGCATTAACCTATGATGCATTTACCCTGTTTGTATGATCTCCATATTATTCGTGTTATATGTATTATGTTTATCCATTTAACTAGACGTACAAACAAACAAAATCAGATCATCTTGTGCAAAGGTTATACACTCTACCTTGTTACAGTGGCTGTACAATGGAGATTCGCACGGCAAATGAAGTGTGTTAAGCCTGGTAGATCGAAGTTTCGAAAATAATGTATAGATTAATTTGAGTTAATTCGGTTTAGTTATATGGTCGATAAGCACTGTGCAGTTATTTGGTATATCACCCTATCCTTGTTTTAGAACATCATGGAACTTCAAAAGGTCAATTTGACACCAATGGCATTGGCGCAATAATGGGATGGCAAAACCCATAGATCGCCAACCCTGTAACAGAATGACAAATCCGTGTAACAGTTTATGAACTTAGCGTCTGGCACTTATCAAGTACACATGCCTTCAAATATGGGGTGTTCCAACAATAATAAACACGGGGTATATGTGGCTTACTCTTCCGGACACCTGTTACCACTGTTTGTCGTGTATTTTGTACACGAGGAGCAGTCCATTTGCTGATTACACTATTTTGCCTATAACGTTTTTTAGGACTTCAAATTCTGTCTTATGGTTTGGATTGTTCGTACTTGGTTTTATTTTATTCCATCATCTCAATCTCATTACAGTGAAGTCAATGAAATCATTAGATTGGTTATTGCCCAGCTACAAGTCATTATTATTTAAGCCTTTTCTTTCTTTTACAGTGTATGGTGAAATAAGCATAATGAAATAAATCAAAACGTAATCGACTGCAGGTAATACACCCCCGGGTGAGCCAGCTATGTTTTTTTCCCGAACAGAATGGAAGATGTATTTTTGTGTGCTGAATTATTTTCGGTTGCGTGAAATAGTATGAGTTATCAGTACCATTTTATAATTCACTAGCAGGATACCCGGCTTCGCTCGGGGGTCATAACTCCGAAACCGAAAGTGGTAGACTAACGCCACCTGGCCTATGTTACTCCCCGGTCCGAGCTACCCCAAATTTCAGACTCGGGGCAGATGTAGCCGCCAACCCCGAACAGACTTCGCTCGGGAGTCATAACTCCGAAACCGGAAGTGGTAGACTAACGCCACCTGGCCTATGTTACTCCCCGGTCGGAGCTACCCCTATACCCCAAATTTCAGACTCGGGGCAGATGTAGCCGCCAACCCCGAACAGACTTCGCTCGGGGGTTATAACTCCGAAACCGGAAGTGGTAGACTAACGCCACCTGGCCTATGTTACTCCCCGGTCGGAGCTACCCCTATACCCCAAATTTCAGACTCGGGGCAGACCTAGATAATAAGTGTAGCCGCCAACCCCGAACAGACCGGCTTCGCTCGGGGGTCATAACTTCGAAACCGGAAGTGGTAGACTAACGCCACCTGGCCTATGTTACTCCCCGGTCCGAGCTACCCCTATGCCCCAAATTTCAGACTCTGGGCAGACCTAGTGTAGCTGCCAACCCTGCAAGGGAAGATATTAGCCTTTGAAGGTTTGACAGACGTGTGCAATAATTTCAACCACCGTACTGGTTGATCGAAGCTAAGTCTCGGTCCTCCATATTTGATTAAATCAAATTATCGCTGAACCATTCTAATCTTTTTAATATCAGAGAAATCTGATGCCATCGAGAGTTGATTAAGGCCTGGATCAGTTAATTAATGTCTAATTAATACTTTAGAAAACATTTTAGGCCTAAAGAAAGACCTGCAATAGTCAGATTTAGCTCTTGCATAATGCATGTTAAATGTATTGGTTGATGACCCGACTATTAACCAGTCATAAAATGTATTAGAAAATTGTGAACACAATACAGGACAAATCTCTGGGGTTGTTAATTTCGAAATGGGATAGAACGCGTTGTGCAGTTTCCGTTCACATTTTGACTTTTAAGACATGTACAGTGCAATAATTTTCAATCACGCTTTGCTGAGTGACATTTCTCGACACCTTCAGTTGTTCCATGTTGAATAATAACCGAGGGATTGTAAACTCAGCTATCCACAACAACTTGTCCAAACCAGGAAGTGATGCACCGGATGAATGATGATAAGTCACACACAACCCGGCCTAGACAACGATGAACGTTATCGGTAACGACAAGATGATCAAATTTAACTTTTTATCTACTAAAGATGGCCTTTGACCTTGCACCAAGTCAACATTTCTTTATATCTAATAACGATAACCCACGTACGTGCACTAGGATTTCGGTATGAACTTTTAGGCGATGGATTATATAAAAAATGAGAACCGGTAACTTATTTGGCGTGAATTATTCGCTTGAATACAAGAACCACATAAGTTAAAGTAGCTAGGTTTCTAACTCAATATCATCCAAATCTTCAACATTGAAAACACAAATTATTTGTCAATTTATATCAACACTGATGTTGTGATCTTACCGGGAAAAGATGGGCCTCTGATATCCAATATTTAAGACAAAATAAACCTTTTACCATTAGTACACGAATCGTGTACCTTAATGCGTTTCAGGCCCATTTTAACAAGGGACTCTAAGAACGAGGCTAGACATATTCCACAAGTCATGTCAAACGGCGACGGCATATTCATATCTGGAGAGTAGGCGCAATAAATACTATGTAGACTAGAATAACCAGACGCCAGAGATTGTTATTTGATTGAGACTTCTGGCATATTTCGCCGAACATAACTGATTTGAAATTAGAGTAAAAACGGAAACGATTGAATGTAAATCAGTTTGTATACATTCATATTACATTATTATATGCATTGCAACCCATTTGTGTCAATTTCTAGGTCCCAAATATTAGCGATTTAGCTGCTTTAATTCTATTAGGAATCTTATCAACCAGGGTTATATTTCAAGTTGATTGATTCATGACACCGAGTTTACCGAGCACTATCGCAGCCCCTTTATTAATCTAGGTTGAATTTGCTAGATATAAATGTATTTGAATGGGTTGTATAATTCATCGACTCATCACTTCAGTTAAATAAATGGTAAACTTACATACTTACGTTTATAATGCGAATCAGGAGAGTTTTAATTTCGGACAGTGGGGTTTTCGTCTACTCTTCTTCACATTCTCAAATTCCACCATCAAGTATTCATTTACGCACAACAATCACTCGTATGATTGTCCATTTCTAACTGGTAATCCAAATAATCTTTTAAGCGTTCTTTTTATCATTATTGCTGATTGGGGAACACAGAAAACCCCTTTTATATTTGAATAAGCTATCAATGTAATGATACAGGTGTCCACCGTCTCAGTCCCAAAATGAAAACATACATTAATTAATTCGACTGTTACCTTTTTGTAAAAGCATGAAGCAACCAATCTTAGCCTGAGCAGAAATTACTCGCGACTGAACTTAGTCAAGGTTTTGATGTAGTGAAACTATACCATGTTTAACACTCCAAATCCCAAAGCATCAATCATTCAAAGTGCTTATCTCTGCTGAGCCCCATCAAGGCATTCACCCTATGAACATTTAATGTAGCAAGATTGGTAAGATTTTTGCTCTTTAAATTAACAATAGCATTATATTATATCTTTAACTAATTATTAGGTTCATATACATGCTTTGTAGAGATGTCATATCTCATGCACTCAAATTGAATAATAGGTTTATATATAAACAGTCATAATTTCATAATCATTTATGTCTGGCCTAATAACAAAATAACACGCCTGACAATTTTGGTGGAGAGTTTTTACTGTCCACATAAGAGTGGTTCTTGACGGCATTAGGTTTAGTAAGCAATCATCATAATTACGTAATATTTGTCCAATTAAATAATTGACAGAGCTGTCTCAAGGACACTGTCAATGTTACAAGACTGATTTAGGTGAATGAAGATTCCTTAGTGTTAGACATCGCCTGTGTTCTTTAGACGACCATATGATGTAGCGGTTTCCTGAGTCTAGCCACGCTGGTTAGACTTTTTCAGGAGTTGGGGTGGAGAGAAAGACACGTTAATTTTAAGTATTAGAGACTTTTGGCAAGCGGAATTCTCCCATCCGTATCGTATACGTGATACGTTGCGTCAAAGTAGTTTTAGAGTTTTGGCAGATTTTTGCGTCGCGTACGTATGGGTAGCTGAGCACAACTTAGTTTTATTACAGCATGATGGCAGATATCTACCAAGATCACCATCAGTACTGGTCAAGTGCCTATTATAGTCTACAATTTCACGGAGGGAATGAAGTCGCTCGACAGTCGCTGAGCTATTAAAAAAAATTAATGTGGAATATTATTAAAAATCTTCGACTTCGACTCGACTGTAATTTTTGGGTTCACTAATGTATCATTTCATAAAGTTTATACCCCTTTACCACAGAATAAAATCACTTACAGTTATGCAAGGTTCCG